TGCTGAATATGTGAATTTAAGATAGTCGATAACATTATTTTCTTAACCGCTGCATTTCATTCTAAATTCTAAGTTCATTCTAAAGACTTTCTTTCTTATGTGGACATTCAAGTTGAGTGAGTACTCCGAAGCTCATTCAATGTGTAAACTTCATTGTGACCTTTGATGACTTTAGGTATTTCAGGAATTCTGCTGCTTTGGAAAAAATACACTTAAAGATTTATTAAGCTGTAACTTTGAGGATTAGTTCCTCCTTTGCTAACTCCCACCTCAGAAGAGTCTCATCTGGCAGAGTAAATGAAAATGGTAACTTACAGTCATCCATTAGAACACCTTTAAGAGAGTTAATGGATGTTTTAAAGGAACATTTTGAAAATAAACAGCAAAGATTTCCATCATCCTTTCTTTTCTCATGGTGCTGAATCAAAGGGACAGCCTTTGTATATTTGTGGAACCAATTACCAAAACACACTAAGGTCACACACCAAAAACTCATTCAGTGTGAGAAGTCCTAAATTAGAAGCTAAAAAGTGCATGCACATCTTAGCCAACGAACGGTAACTCAGATCATGTTAAGCTGTCACTTGAACCAATCTCTTAACAGGTAAGTGCCTAGAAACTAACAGATTTTTTTCCCCCCTTAATGTTTAAAATGGAAATGCAATTAAATTCACTTAGTTTACTTTCCTACTCCCACTAAACTCAGCTCTAGCTGTATCAGGAAACAGGCCTACACACCGTGGTTGCAATCACTTATGTTTAAGATTTAATCAGACTTCCTTACTTCTGTCAACACTTTCATGCATCTCTGACGATACAAGGAACACTTACCTACTGCACCTCTTCACTGACCTGCCATGGTTTTATTTAAGACCATATACAGCTGCTGGCTGAGACTAGCTTTTATATTGTTCCAGAGAGAAGACAAAAATTAAAAAACTTTGAAAGCAAGAGCGTGCTGCAAAACAGAATAGAGGCTGCGATTCTTCAACAGGCTAAAACCTGAATAAGGTATCAGGCATACCAGATACACAGGGCAAAGAACAGATAGTATCAGACGTGAGCAGAAAACCAAAGGTCAAAGCCAAAGTTCCTAATATCTTTTACTAAGCCAAGTAAAAGAATTAAGATTTTCCAAACTACAGATTGGTAATTTAAACTCTACCAAGTTGTCCTTCCCAAGAAGGGCTCTGCCTCACATCTCAAGCACAGATACAGTGAATAGAAGGTTAAAAAAAGAACAAAGGTTTTGTTCTTTTATTAATTTAAACTGCTCTCCTTTGCTTCAGTGTTCACAAATACTTCTCTCCTTAAGTTTATTTGAAAAGAGAAGTTCCAGAATCCTCATCACTTTATGTAAGGAATTAAATTTATTGGTAACTGTGCAGGCACATTAAAAATCTGAGTGGTTGCCAGGTCTGTACAACACTTATTTTATATGTATTTCTCTGGGCAAGATTAATATGTAAGATCTTGGACTGATGGAAAAAATAAATGAGAACTGCTGGCTTCAAAGAATGCATATTCATCACATGGATTGCTCATGTTTGTACAGGTACGAAAGAACTGCTATCAGGTTCATATTTGTGATTTTTAATTCAAACAAATATCTGTTACAAAATGAGGGCAACATTTTAAATTTAAATTTCATGTCATTGCAAAATTTTTTTTTAAGATTTCCCTTCCTTCCCTCTTAAGAGGAATCCTCTGCACAATAGAACATTCTTAATCTAAACAAACACAGTACGATTGATTTACAACAAGATACTGTTGGAATTTACTGTAGTTAAATGATCTTCACCAGTACTACTGGTTTAATTTAAATTACAGGCAATGGTTTTAACCAGAAACACAAAACAAAATCCCCCAACCAAACTCACAGAACCAGAATGATGTTTATTAACTTCCAGAAAAACATTTCTTGTATAGAATAGATTGTTCCATTATATAAAAGGATTATTGGTTATTAGCATAATGCTTTCAGCTGTATACATTGTGAGTTTTCTCACGTTCTATGGGAACTTTAATAAATTATCCCCAGAAACTAGCTGCATCCAAGCTTGACTTAATGTTGTGCATATTTTCTCGACGTTGTTTAGTATAAATATTTGCCTCTCCTTTTTGCAGCCGTTGCCTCAGAGCAGACTTTTGATGTTTGGTCAGTTGACGTTTTATCTTCTGTTTTACCAGTTCCTACAAATAAACGATTCAGTGTCAGAACTTTCTGAAGATCATTTAGTCCTAAGACATGGCACAACAATAGTGTATGTTCAGTACCAACATCAATATGCATGATTCTAACCAGAACGTACATCGAGAAGTTAGTGATCTACACAACAGTTAACGCTGAGTAAGCCCAGGTGTGTGCTGTTGCACTAAGCTGTGTGTACACGGTTGTCTTCAGGTTTGTGTTGTGCTGCACAAATCCACTGGCAGTAGGATAAACTAAGCCAGTTCCCACTCAGCACTGGCAATTAGGCCTCCTTTTATCTAAAAGTGCACAAGAAGTTCTCATGTGAACATCAGTTCAGCTTGACTGTAGAAATGATGAACAGAGTTGTTTCCTTGTGAGAAAAACATAAAATAGCTCGACTGACTGAAAAGAGAGATTCTCTACTAGGGACAAGGTCTGCATGGTGTGCTGCATGTGTGTTGGAGTGCTGTTCAATGCTACACCCTCAGGGCTCCCAGCATCTGAAGGTGTATACGATTATCTATGCTATTCTCTTCTGGTAGTCTTAGCTCTAATAAATACCATTTTAAATCATGCCTTAACGGAGCTTAAGTGTCTGTCTTATGGGAATCATAAAGGACCAGCACCCCTTAGAGCAAAACATGTCCCTTCTACAAAAATTTAAAGCTGATAATACTTTATGCTTGAAGATTTGACAAATTTCTTTTAAAAGGTAAAAAAAAAAGGGATCGGTAGAACATTTCACATCCTGCAGTAATTATTTGGTTCATGCCTATTCTTTTTAGCATCCTGTTTTTATTAAAGTTTGGATTACAAAGATCTGAGTACAACAATTCTTTACAAGCGTGACTAAAAAAGACGGACAGCCAGGAGTGATTTACAATTCCTCCTCAGGAATTTCCAGTTTTCCCCTGTTGTGAGGCACTCAATTCCTATTAAGATTCACAAGGTCAGGACTGTCTCACGCCGCTACTGCAAAAGTACTGCAACAGCAACAGCAACTGTTATTTCCATAAAACTTCAGTAGTTTTATGAAATTTCATCTGTTATTACACCTATGTTTTCATTCTGAGTTCTGCTCTCCATTGTGATGACAAGAGCTAACCATAACAAAAAATGAAGCCATGATTTAGTAGACTGTGACAATGATTTTGTCATTTGGAAAACGATCCCAGCTCAAGCTGCTGCACTGGTAAGTGCATACTTGCATATCTTGTCTTGGAAGAAAAAGAGAAATCAAATTATTTTCATCTTTCTAACTATTTAATTATGATGGAATCATATTTTGTTGGTAATCCCAAAGGAGTGTCTTATTTTTATTCTAATCAATAAAGCATTAAAAAAAATCCTATCAAGGAATAAATCTGCCCTTAATAGAAGATCTGCTGCTGTCCAAATAACGGGACAAGAGGAAAAATATCCATCTAATTACATCACCTTTAAATGTACCCCAATTCCAGTTGCCCTGTTGTGCTTTGCTGATTGTACTTATCAACTCAACTTCACTGTAGCATATGAAGTAGTAAGTAGGGAGCAAATCAGGAAACAGAAAGCATCATTTTGGCAAATTATGCTCTTTAAGAATTGCTGTAACTAGTACAACTAAAGTAACAAAATACAAGGTAGTCAGTGAATCCAATTACTCAATCCTGA